GGGAAAGTGGGAGGTTGAATTCACGAGCTTCATTCACAAGTTTATCAATAGTCTTGGAATTCTCCTCTGCGTTTTTGCTGAGTTGGTAACGAGATTTGGGATTGAGACGCAGCCCAAAGAAACACTTCTTCTTGGCATTTCCTTCAGCATCAGCTACTAATTTCTCTGCAGCATCAGCTACTAATTTCTCTGCAGCTTCAATGCAATTGTTGGCCCTGGTCAGCCAATTCCCGACCTTTTGTGCAATATGTTCCCCTCTTCTCTCAACAGCTTTAGCATAGTTCTCCACAGTCTCTCTCTCATCCTTCAGCTCAGCAACTTTGTTCTTCAAATAGTCAACATTATTGTCGCACTTGATCACAAGAATAATTGGCTTTGAGATGAGAGTGAAAATTCCACTAAACAAGTTCCCAACAAAATTTGCAGCAGCATTCTGACAAAACGAAGAAGGGTCGGACATCTTCTAATTCTTTTTTTTTTTTTCTTTTTTTTGAGTTTGGAAAAATACATAGGTGCCAAACAGGAATAAAGACACAAGGAACAAAAGAAGCAAATGAATCAGATGAGGATATGAAACAAAAGATGAGAATAGTGGAAATAAGCTGATTTTTAGTAAAGGGAGGCAAAATGAGGTGCAGAGAGTAGCGAAAGAAGATGGATCTGCAAACAATGGAGGGAACGAGTTGGGATCAAATCAAATCAAATGAAATCAAAAGAAAGGGTGAGAAAAAGAGCAACGTGAGAATGAGTTGGTGTCTGTAAAGGGATGTGAAGATGCGGTGCAGAGGGTAGCAGCAGAAGATGATGGAAAGAAGGATTGAACAGAGAAAATGAAGGAAACAAGTTGAGAGGAAAGCAAATCAAATGAAATGGTGACGAAAGTAGGGCTGAAAAGGGGGATCGATTGAGCAAAAGCATAGCATGAGAGCAATCATAGTGATACCGAATGATTTGTTTTGGGGAAAACCCTCGAATCCGCCCGCCTAAATAGGTGGGGAGGAACAGATTTGTTAATTAAAAAAAATTATAGAGATAAATTATTTTTTAAAATTATTAATTAAATAAATCACTTATTTTTTTAC